TGGGAAAGCCTGGATCTCCCTCCTCGTCTTTGACATAACTTGGCCCAGGTTGTGAATGGAGCCTCCCCAGCCAGCAGCAGTCTACCCCCCCCCCCCCCCACCCCCCCCCCCCCAAGAGGAAGACCAGAAGAAGAAGGAGGGGGGGGGGGTTTTTTTTGGGGGGGGGGGTGTCTTCCTAGAGGCATGAAGGCCCGAACTCAAAGACCCCACCTCAACCCCCAGGCCGCCGCTCTTTTTCCCGGCCTCACCAGGTCGCCGCTGGGCCCGAGGGGCGGCCCGGCCTCCTTCCCCCCCCGCGGCGGCTCCTCCTCGCCTCCGTCTCCTGTCGCCATCGCCGCTTCTGCGGGAGAGGGTTCCGCCCCCACCGCCCCCCCACCCCGAAGCCACGCCTACGCCCCCCGCCTGCCCGTCATCGCGCCGCTCCGCCAATAAGGAAACGCGACGGGGCCGGTCCCTTGTTCAAAATTAGCATCCGCCTCTCTCCCGGATTGGTCGGTTCTTCCGTTAAAGCCCCGCCCTCGCTCTCTTTCTCTCACTTTCCGGCGGGCAACGCCTATGGGCGGGTTAAAGAGACAGAGAGTTGACCAATGGGAGGCGGGCCCTTGTTTTGTTTGTTTTTGGGAAGAGCAGGGGTGGAATTAGAAGGGGCGCTCTAGGATGCTGGCGGACTTGCGCTCCATGGTGCCTGTCAATTGCCCTCCGATTGCTGAAAATGTTGCTGAACGGACGAGCAGGAAAAAAAACAAAACCCTCCAAGTATAATTTTATCTCATTGGTGTGAAAAAAGGGTTTTCTCCAGCCTGCTCCAGATGGACTACAACTCCCATCGCCCATACCTATTTTTGTTAATTTTAATGTCAACGTTTTGCTTTATGTGGTGGTTTTATTTATTATTTATTTATTGAATTGATATTGCTGCCTTATTCGCCCATGGCGACTCGAGGTGGCTTACAGAATGGGAAAGCATATTTAAAAAAATAAAAAACCATAACAAAAGGAACCTAATTAATAAAGTACAATAGAACAAAATCTGGAAAAATAAATAAATCACCTCCCCCCAAATTCCCACCCCATCCCGCTGCTCCAAGGACAGCAGATCACACAAGCCATTTGACGGGCTCCAACCCTCTCTGGGTTCCCCAGGCCCGCTGGCAGAACCAGGTGTTCTTCAGTGCCTTCCGGAAGAGTGCCAGAGAGGGGGCCATTCTAATCTCTGGGGGGAGATGATGTTCCAGAGAGAGGGAGCCACCACAGGGGAGGCCCTTCTTCTGGGTTCCACCAGGTGTATCTCCCTCAGGGGTGGGACCCACAGCATTCCCTGCCTCCTAGCTCCGATGGGTCAGGTAGATGTGACCGGCAGGAGACGGTCATCCCTCAGAACACCTGGTCCCAAGCCATGAAGGGCTCTAAAGGTGACAACCAGCACCTTGAAATTGCACCCGGAAGCAAATCGGCAGCCAATGCAGCTCCTGCAGGAGACGTGACGCATGTGCAAACCGGGATCTGCATAAAACCATGCTGCATTTTGCACCAACTGGAACCTCCGGATGCTCTTCAAGGGCAGCCCCATGCAGAGCATGTTGCAATAAACAAGACGGGAAGTGACTAAGGCATGAGGGACTGTGAGTAGGGGCCGTTGGTCCAGGAAAGGGTGTAACTAGTGCACAACCTGCAGTTGCACAAAGGCCCTCCTGGCCACGACCGCCACATGCCCTTCGAGGAGTTATGAGTCCAGGAAAGCCCCTAGATTATGCACAGCGTCTCTTGGGGGTAGTGCCACCTGATCCAAGAACAAAGGTGGTAATTCTCCCTGAGCCAACAAACCCCAAACCCAAAGCCACTTGGTCTTGCAAGGGTTTAGTTTCAACCTGTTGCTCCCTATCCAGCCCCTAACAGCCTTCAGGCACTACGAGAGGGAGGACACAGCAACACTTAACTCACCACAGGCCGAGACATACAGCTGAGTATCATCAGCACATGGGTGATGTGGATGGATGATCTCACCCAGCGGCTTCATATAAATGTTGAACAGGAGTGGAGAGAGTACCAAGCCCTGCGGAACCCCTTCTTACAAATTATAAATTTATACCTTGTTGTAAATTACATAACATTGCTTGATGAGATATAAATTTAACTTATATATATACATTTAATAAATATTGTGGCAAGAGATTCAATTAACCTATTTCTATGAAGGGAAGCTGTGAAGGCGTGTAAGGACAAAGCAACATGGAGCAATTCTTAGCCATTATACGAAGAGTACATAAACTGAATTTATAATATATGAGCTGCTTTTCCTAAACTTTCTCATCTTTCCTGGGATACAATTGTTCACATCAAGATGTAATGCATCTGTATGTTTATCCTATCAAAATAACGTTCATTATTTACCACTATGAATTATTAAAGCTTGTTATATCTGTTTTCTTATTTTATGTAAGTCTCCATTTTAGTATATACTCAGTGATATAAGAAAAAGTCATTGGATCAAAGGAAATTACAGCCAGCAAATTAACAGATCTAATGTGGAGATGTGAGATTTTTCTTTTTATATAGTATATGCTAAGATTTGTGTAAGTGGCTGGAGTCATTCAAGCTTCTTGTCCAACATATATTCCATGAAAGCAATATGATGTTCTTAACATGAATTAATACTTATGAAATTTTAATTTCATAATTGGTTTAGCATGTTAAAATGCTGGATTCTTTCATTTTTTGAAATCTGAAGAACTACTTTTTGTGCAGAAATGTACGGAATTCAATAATCCATAATCACAGGCTATAAACACTAGTCAATTCAAACCATTTCCTCTTTATTAGGTCAACTTTACAATACATATCCAGGATTCAATAAAAGGAAGAAGTGATTTCAAATAAGTAATTATAATGTCTATAGCCAGGTAATTGTTGTACAGTCACAGAACCTTAACAGTGTACTCATGGGAAGTCCATCTGGAAAAGAACAGATAGTTGGAATTAACTTGGACATATTCTTTTCAAGGTCTCTATCTCTTCACAAGCCTCTTGAGGAGAGAGTGGATAGAAAGGTTAAGAAAGGATGTTCCAACTTCAACCCTAGCTGCAGATGAATACGTGGTTGCCTAGAGCAATTTAAGGAACTACTTGTAGCATTTAATTGCCACTTGTCTACCCTTCGGATGCTTTGTGTAACGCCCAGGTTGCTACTTGTATACAAAAGCACCTAATTTCTATCGAGCTCCATGATCTTTTTACATTTAAAAAAAATAAATCTGAGAGAAATTGATGTAGAAAAGACAAGCAGAGACTGTAGGCAGGAGAGGGAAGGATGGAGGAAGAGAGATAGAAAGGGTGGCGTAGCATTCAAATTTGCTGGGGCTTTGCAAATATGTAATCACCTTGACATCACAGCCATTTTATGAATGGGGAAGCCCCGATCCATTTTGTGGGAGTGCCTTCGATGTATTCTCAAAACACCAAATGTACCCCACAAACAATAAGAGGCTAAGAGACCCCTGGTCTCCTCTTGTCCTGTAACATGGGACTTTTTCCTGCATTTCCATTACATGTGCTTCCAACTATACATACGGTTTCCATAGTTTTCTTTTACCATAAATTTGCTTGTGTTAATTTCTCTAATTTTGCTTTGTAGGCAAAATACTTTCACTAGTGTTCTCTCTTCCTCCCTCCTTCCCTCTCTCCCTCCCTCCCTCTCTGTGTATCAGGGAAAATAAATGGTTAATATGAGCAAATAGTGACAAGAAGTTAGCAGGATTATATCTGAATGCTATTTAGAAATACAGAGCTTAATTTATTTTTTGTATTTGAGGGATGTCTGCTGCATTTTAAACTAGCGGCCCCCGCAAAAAAGTAAAGTGAAGTACATGAGGTATCTTTTCATTTTTAATATACTTTAAAACTCACAGGTATCAGAGCCCAAGTATTCTACAGAAAATGGATTCCAATTATTTAGAACATATCACATAGCCTACATTTTCTGCAAAGAGACAGCAATGTTTTTCTCTACCTTATCAAAATGGTAGACAAGTGTATTTTCTACATTTTAGAAGCCTTTGTTAATTTTAAACACCAAACAGAATACTGAAGAACATACATACAAAGCAAAAATTAAAGATATGTTTTCTTACTGTTAAGTTTACGCTTTGTCCATTTCCAGTTCTTCTGGAGTTGAAATGCCCAATTCATTCAAAGTTGGTCTAAGTTCCTGGATAACGTATGGATATATATCCCTGTATCTGCCTGATTTATACTAATTCAAAGAGAACACAAGACTTCAGAACTTGAAAAGTAGATTTGGCAAGACAAGCACACTTAAGCCCAGGAGCTGAACTTTTCTATGGCCCCGATTTTATCCAAGAAATATGCATAACTCACAAACAACAAATATTTGGATTGCTAGCAAGCTGCAATTATTGTCACTCATACGTGGTTTCCCTGAAGTCATTATTTCTAACCACTGACCTTATTTCTGAAAAGTTCATGTCCAGAGAAGCTGTAACACTTAGGTGAAGCATATGCTTGTTACATTCAGTGTCTTGAATTCCCTTTTAAATTGATATTATTTTTATAGATAACTCAAGGCAGTGAACATGCATAATACCCCTTCCTCCTCTTCCCCAGAACAATAATCCTGGCCCAAGGTCACCTAGCTGGCTTTCATGCCTAAGGTGAGACTAGAACCCACCGTCTCCTGGTTTTTAGCCTGGTGCCTTAACTACTAGACCAAACTGGCTCTCTTGGCACTGGATGGGCGTTAATGAACTAGGAGGAGCAGTCTGCCCATGTAGAAGTAGACACTTTATCCCCTACCTATACTCTCTCTGAGATAAAGTCAGTGAATATAAACCATCTGGCCTACTAGGCCACTGCTTCATGTCCGATTCTTCTGCCTCTCCCACTCAAGATCATTTCTGCCTGTGGTGAATGGTTCATTATAAGGGCCACTTTAAGCCCATGTAAGGATTGTGTGTGTGCATGTGGGAATCTCAGAAGTGTGTCAGTGAATGCCACTGAGGTGTATAAGGGAACAATTCACCACCACGCTTTATATTGCAAACAGAAGGATGCCTTCACTCACCTTTACCATTTCCAAGATGCGGATTGTGGTAGCAAAGTCATTTAGCCGCCTGCATGCCCTCAAAGCCGCATCAATAATTTTTGGCTCGGGAACCATGTCTGCATCAACCAAGGTGTTAATGCCTGTCAAAAGAAACGAGCATAGAAGGAGAGTTGCTGCATTCATTCTAGTCCTCCCCTTCTCGTGTTTGTGATGCATTTAACAAAATCATAACATAAAATTTAATTATTTTCTCCCTCTGTTTCTCTATTCTATCATCTCAGATTTTGCTGTGGAACATATAAGGTGTAGTAATTCTGCTTATATCCAGATACAAAATCTAAGACAAAATTTCAGGGTTAAAAGCTTAAGTCTCTAACATTTACTTCAATCTCAAAGTCTAACACTGTTAATCGTAATGTATTATAGTTAGTTTTGCTGGACCAATCTAGCTGTTCAAAGTTGGGGGGGACTGGACTCAAGATCTTTGATTTTTACTCTGGGATCATTGTGTTTGCTCCAAGAAAGGGGCCTATATAATTTCTATTGGGTTGCACAAATCAATCAAATCTTTAGAAAATACAATTTCTCTAATGCCGCCCCCACTGATGCTTCCTGTGTGTGTTACCTTTCCTAAGTTCCCAGTCATCAATATCAGGTTTGTTGAAGAACATCACCCAACGAGCATCCAGTTCTTCATCTGTGATCTCTGCTTTGTGACCATAGCAACGCAGAGGTAGTGCTGGTTTTTGGAACAAAAATGGGAAGGAGCAGAAGACAAAGTGTGAAACATTCAAGGATGAAGCTATAACACTACAAGGAAAGGTAGTCCTGGAGTTATGACCATAATGAATCTGCCCATAATGTTAACACGATTGTAACATTGATGGACATAAAATGGACATCGCTGGACATTGCAGACTTTGGAATTTTTCCACAGAGAGAATATTTATTTCATTGTTCTTAAATAATTCAACTCCGCAAAACAATTAAATACCATAGGCATAAAAGATACTGGGGACATTTAACACTGAATTACTCCAATAGCTTAATCATTCAAGGCATAGGAAGAAAATACTAACACGAGAAGAGTCTCGGAGTCTGTATTATATTATTAATAATATAGGAGAAAATTATGTTCAAGTTTGTGGTCTTGATTCTGTGGAACACTCTACCACTGGAGGCAAGACCTTCTTTCACCCTTTTGGCCTTCTGGAAGGGTAGTAAAGCTTGGGTTTGCCCTCTGGTTGGTGGCTCAAGGGGGGATGCTCACCACTGGGGATGGCCAATGGGTTAAGAAGACTATCCATCTCTTGGCTCTTGACTTCTGCATAGTTTTAATTTTTTAACTGCTTTTATTTATTTATCTTTTTATGGTCTGTAAGCTACCCAAAGTAGCCTTATCAGGGAGATAGATGGGTGGCATATAAATTTGATAAATAAGGAAGCTGGGAAATTATTTGATTTTTTGGAATTTCACTTCACTAATCTTAGTGTTGCAATCTTTTAAGAAGTAAATGAGCAAACCTTGTAATGTAATATTGATTGACTAGTGCTAATACACTGAAGATGGTATTTAATTTCGTCCTACGAGGTACAATGACAATAAAGTAAACTAACCTAACCTAAATTAATTCTTATTTCCACTGTTATAAAAATGTCTGGTAACAAATTCTTATTAAAAGATGCATGCCTTCATGAGCACATATAAACTGTGCTAAATGAATGTAAAACCTTAAATATTTAACATGCAGTTTCATTTCTCTCATCTGCCCAATTCTACCAACACGGAGTAATTAAACTTTCAACATCTGTTAAGTAAATGGGCCTTTGGAGGTATTAAAATATCATCAATGTAATATAGCAACTGTGAAAATAATATCTTATGTGTCCTGATTATTTATTTAGCATATGCCAATGTACCTTGATGCTAGGGAGGTAAAGAACTTTAAGGCACAGCTGTGTGAAATAAAATCTTGCATGCAGCAAATAGGAGTGACATATTCTTGAGGCAGCCTCCAACACCTATTCCTACTCTGAAATAGGAAAAAGCTGAAAAAGAAATACCACTGTAAAATCTAAAGTAACACAAGGCTGTGGACCTAAAGGTCCAAAGTCCATGAGGTGAGAGGAAGGCAGGGAGGCTATAACCAACAGGCTCTTCAACTAAAGCTTGTTGTTAATAAAAGGGAGAGTAAGACACAAAGGAATGTCTTTTCAACTTCCTTAAAAGTTATTAAGCTTTTGTTGAGCTATACATAATTTCTGGGTGTAGCCTATTAAGAATAGAAGCTATACCTTGAATTTTAAATAATCTCATTTAATAGATATAAATCAGAACATATGTCACTGACAGACGTCTGAATCTCATTTAAGGAAAGTGAAAGGCACTGCATTTGGTTTTCTTCAAACATGACACACAAATCCACCCAAGTGGATAAAGGGTCAACTGGCGCAGTCCTTTCCGTCCCTCCCCCCCCGCAAAAAAATATCCCCATCATTTTGCCTTTTTCCTCTTGGGTGGAAGGGGAAGTGTGTGTGTGTGGGGGGGGGGGGGATTCCACCTTAGAGTAGATAAAGGGTCAACTGGGGCAGTCCTTTCCCCTCTTCCCTTCCCCTCCTCAAATAACCAACCCTTTTGCCTTTTAACCCCAAAGTGAGCCCCATTTCCTGGGGGGGGGGGGGG